CAGTATTAACTACATTTACCGGCCTGAATCATAGAAACTATACGTCCTCCGACAGGAATCGAACCTGTATCCTATACGGAACCGTCATATATCCCGACGTGCTTTACAGACGAAGCGTTTCACTGTTTTTAAACTAAATTCTCGGAGCACGAATATTTTCTATGAAAATTTCGCGGACATTCAGGCCAGTAAATGTCGTTAATACTGTTTATTATAAACAGCACATTCACTTTAATATTTGTATCTATAAAAAGAACGTATAAACATAAAGAAATGTCTTAGATTAATTGTCGGACATTGTCCATTTCAATCAATATATATATATATATATATATATATATATAAAACTTGCTTATATTCCGTGTTCTGTAAATGTTCCGTCATGGGAAAATATTTTTTTTTTCAAATATGACGTAAAAATCCCACTAAATAAATAAATGAAATAATTATGAATATTAAATAAATATTATTTATTTCTATACGTAATCACGAATATTAAAAAAAATAATTAAAAGTGAACTTTCATCGATATTTAAATATTTCATTGGTATTTAACCATTAAAGAAGATTGTTTTATTTTACATTTTTATTTTTTATTTAGATTTCTCGTTCAAGCCTTGTGTGTGGAATTGGTTAGACCGAAATGTTCGTCAATTATTCTGTTAGCACGAAGTCGCGAGTCATCGTGACAGAGGGGTTAGACGGATTGTTCGTGTTCAAAGTGATGATCATGCCAGGAAACCTCAGGAAAAAAAAAAAAAGAAAAACCTAAGTAGCGCCCATTCAGTATAGGTGCAGTACAAAGTACAGGTTGGCTGTGTGCGTGTTGAACGAAAAAAATGTACCTGAGCATGAGTCTGGAAATTGGGATTATCGCTTTGAAATGATTAAATATATTCAACACTCCTGTCGTGATGAAACTTATGTGCATAATCATCCAAACTGTTTGAAGGGCCGAATAGAGAGATCTGGTGCACTACGTGCCACAAGGTCCCTAAAGGATCATCCGCAGGTTTTGAAATAAGAGTTGTCCTTCTCCAGGACCACTTGCCATCCAACGCTATAGAACCCAGTCTGTCCTGCTATTTACCCCTAGCTGACAGGAGAAGAAGAGAATTCATACTTTTCCCATTACATTCACGTAAGTGAATGTAATGGATTCGACGTCGGCTATCGGATTCCTCAAACCAACCCGCTATCCATTACTCCACCGTGCTACCTATATATATATATATATATATATATATATATATATATATATATAGATAGATAGATAGATAGATAGATAGATAGAGAGAGATAGAGAGACACAGAGAGAGACAGACAGATAGACAGAGAGGTGTATATTTGTTTAATCATATTCTTGTTAATATATATATATATATATATATATATATAGACTCTCCTGTCGAAGTATGAGGGTCGAGGAGATCAGTTCTTAGGAACCGAAAGCCCGACACCAGCGCATGAGATTTGATTATAATGGTAAAGGTTTTCTGCAGAACCAACCACACTTTTTGAAGGGCCGAATACAGAGACCTAGTGCACCACGTGCCACATTGTCCCCAAGCGAACCTACGCAGCTTTTGAATTAAGTGTTGTACTTCTCCTAGACAAGTTGCCATCCAAGATTAAAAACCCAGTCTTTTCTACTATTTACCCATATCTGGAGAGAGAAGAAGAGGATTCATATTGATCCCAAGGGTATTAGGACGTAAGTGAATGTAATGGATCCGACTGGAATTCGAACTCGGCCTGCACACATATATATATATATATATATATATATATATGTATATTTCATGTATATATATATATATATGAAATATGCATGCATATATATATGTGTATGATACATGTATGCATGAATATATATATATATATATATATATATATATATATATATATATATATATATATATATATATATATATATATATATATATATATATATATATATAATATACATACATATATATATGTGTATGATACATGTATATATATATATATATGTGTGTGTGTGTCTGTGTGTGTGTGTGTCGGTAGG